TTGTTTCTTCGCCTTTCCACCTCCTATTTGTTTTTCTTTTTTGTGTGACTTTCTGTGTTCCTTTGAGTAGAAAAAAAAGAAACAGAGAGGAAAAAAAATTCGTGCACAAAAAAAAAAAGCAAAAAAAAAAAGTGTTGTGTTGTGAAAAAAAAAAAGGAGTGCCAGAAAAAAAAAGGGAAAAAAATCCGAAAATTCAAAAAAAAAAGAAGGAGAAGCTGCATATTTGAGAATTGCAATGTTAAAGATGAGTTTCCTAAAATTGAGAAGAGCTGCCATTACAAGTCACAACTAGTTTCCTAAATCGTTAAATTTGGGTGGTAAGAGTTCTTATTTCCTCTCTTTGCATGTTTCCTAATTTCTTCTCGTTTCCTATTTTTTGTTTTCCTTTCCTTTTTTTCCGTATTGCTTAATTTGAGTTTCTTTCCTTTTCCTTCAAGTTTCCTATTTGCTTCCTTCCTTTCATATCTCACCTTCCTAACTTGATTTGCTTTTCTTGCAAGGTGCCTAATTTCCTAAATTATTTTCAAGGTAGCACCTTTCCTGAATATTTTCTTTCCTTTTTTTCCTTTCTTTTCTAATTCATAGCTTTCCATATTCTCCTTTCTTTTTTTCCTTTTTACGTTTTTTTTCTCCTCTTTTCCTTCCTTTTCATTTTTTTTGGTACCTATCCTTCTTTTTTTATCACATATTCCTTTCTTATCTCTTATATTTTTTGGTTCTTGCAATTCTGGTTGTGGAGATTACCATTTACTAACATTGTCTCTTGATTTTGTTGAGTTTCAATCAAGAATACTATAGGAGGCAAGTTTGAGTGGTAAAAGACGAGAGTGTTATCACATCAATTTAAAAGCCAGATTTGAGTTAAACACGAGTGACACTACAATTTCTTGAGTGAAACACGCGAGTAGAGTGGTAAGGTCCCTTCTTACTATTTCATTTCTCTTTGATCACACTAACATTTCAATTTCAAGATGAGTGACAAAGAAGCCAATATGGAAGAATTCAACACAGATCCTAAGTTGTTCATGAGAGCCATGAGAGATGAATTTCTCAAACGCAAGTTGGAGCTAGATGAGCTAAAAGCATCCAAAGCAAGTAGTGGTGACGAGGAGGTGATTAGATCTGGTTCTTCATCCTCAAAGAATAGGAGCAGACCTGAAAAACGTGATTTGGACACCTATGACCCAAATCCAGATGCATACCTTGATTGGGAGATGAAGTTTGAGCAAATCTTCAGAATGAATGACTGGCCAGAAGAAAAGAAGGTAAAAATTGCTTCATATCAATTTTTTGACTATGCTATTGTTTGGTGGGAAGATTTACAACTTAAAAGACGCCTTAAGGGCAAAGGACCACCTCATATATGGTCAAAGCTAAAGAAACTCATGCGCAACAAGTATGTCCCTAGTTACTACTACCGAGAGCTAAATAGAAAGTTACGACTGTTTGGCCAAGGCTCTATGACTGTAGATGAATATGTGCATGAACTTGACCTTCTTAAAATGCGAGCTGGAGTACAAGAAGGAGAAGAAGCAAGCATGACCAGAATCATTGATGGGTTAAGGCCTGAAATTAGAGACAAAGTTGAGATGTACACTTTTGTTGATAAAGAAGAGCTAGTGCATAAAGCCATCAAAGTTGAGAAGCGGTATAAAGAAAAACACTCCAAATCCTCATCTCATGGTTGGAGGGACTCTAGATCAGCATCCAAGTGGAAGGATTCTAAGGCTAAAGATGTTGCAAAATTCACACCAAAAGCCAAGGAGGAATCCAAGCCCAAGATTGATGGCGGTAAGAAACTTGACTCTAAAACTTCTTCTACTGATAGAACCTCTTCTCTTCAATGTTTTAGATGTCATGGAAAAGGGTATATTGCTTCCCAATGTCCCAATAAGAGGGCCATGATTCTCAAAGATAATGGCGAGTATGACAGTGTGCATTCTAGCGATGAAAGTGATGATGACATACCTTCTTTGGTGACTGATTCTGAATTGGAGATTGATGAAGCTGAACCTGTTAAGGGAGAAGCATTAGTGGCTAGAAGAGCCCTAAACATGCAACCAAAGGAAGATAAAGGGCAAGAGCAGCGAGAGCTCATCTTCCACACTAGGTGCTTAATAAAGAATAAGGTATGTAGCATGGTTATTGATAGTGGTAGTGTTACCAATGTTACTAGCACCTTACTTGTTGAAAAGTTGGATTTACCTACTATGAAGCATCCCAAGCCTTATAAATTGCAATGGTTGAATGATAGTGCTGAAGCTAAGGTCACTAAGCAAGTTTTGGTTTCTTTTTCTGTTGGCAACTACCGTGTGAAGTTTTATGTGATGTAGTCCCAATGCTTGCTGGACATCTTTTGCTTGGAAGACCATGGCAGTTTGATAGTAGAGCTCACCATGATAGTTACAAAAACTGTTATTCTGTACCTTTCAATGGAAAAATCATTGTATTGAAGCCTCTTAGGCCTAAAGAAGCTTATGATGACCAAGTGAGGATTGAGAAAGAATGCAAAAAAATAAGTGAGTGGAGTGAAAAAGAGAGAGTACAGAAAAAAGAAAAGAAAAGGAATGAATATGAGAAAAATGAACAAAAGAAAGAGAGTCTATTTATTGGAAAAAGTGAGGTTAAGAGAGCATTATTGAGTGAGCGAGTCTTGATGCTTGTGTGCAAGGATGCTTATTTTTCTACTAACCAACTTAACCCCTCTTTGCCTTCTAGTGTTATGGCTTTGTTGCAGGAATTTGGTGACCTATTCCCTGATGAAGTTCTCGATGGGCTTCCTCCCTTAAGAGGAATTGAGCATAGGATTGATTTCATCCCTAGAGCTTCTATACCTAATAGACCAGCTTATAGAACCAATCCCGAAGAAACTAAAGAGATTCAACGCCATGTGCTGTTCCAGTACTTCTAGTGCCCAAGAAAGATGGTTCATGGCGAATGTGCGTTGATTGTAGAGCCATCAACAAAATAACAGTTAAGTATCGTTATCCTATTCCTAGATTAGATGACATGTTAGATGAGTTACATGGTGCTGCATTATTTTCTAAAATTGACCTAAGGAGTGGTTATAATCAAATTCACATGAAAGAGGGAGATGAATGGAAAACAGCATTTAAAACTAAATTTGGATTGTATGAATGGTTAGTTATGCCTTTTGGGTTAACTAATGCACCTAGCACTTTCATGAGCTTGATGAATCATGTTTTTCGTTCATTTATTGAAAAATTTGTGGTTGTCTACTTTGATGATATTCTTGTTGATATAAGGTACGGATACGGATCGGCTAGAAATAAGTTAGAAAACTAGACGAACGATCGAAGGTAGGACCTTAAGAGAACCTGTCTCTTACAACCCTAGCCATGGAGACACCAAAAGGATGATCAGTCCTTGATACAGTCGAGTATTGTCACGAGAATATGAGGCGGCAAGCAAAGCTCACTCAAGAGAAATAAAATTCTCTAAAATTCATTCATTCAAATCTGATCCCCAATTACAAAAAACGTAGCCTTATATAGGCAGCAAAAGAACAATCTAGAATCAAAAAAACCCTAGGTCATAAATGCCATAAATGTGCCTTAATGATGATTGACTATCTTGGTTGGCACCTATTAAGGCTCAAGGAAATAGGAAATTACCTTTTCTTGAAGAAAAAGGCTGCTACCTAAAAATAAGAAACTAACCTAAAATATTCTTATGCAATCTTTGACTAAAAGGCCTTATTTAATGCAAATAAAAATGGAAACTTAAAAAAACGAAATTAAACCATAACTAATACATAAAGACGCCTTCTTGATGCTTCTTGGACCTTCCAAATAGATCTTCATAATTGCTATTCACGTCCATAAGCATGTATGGGCCTTTAAGACACCCATTTGGGCTTGAATATGGTTGAATCACGTTCTGGAACTCCCATGGTCCATAACACGATGCATTTGGGCCCCAATTTAAAAGATTATAGCTCTAATGGACTCCTCCAGGCACATATAATTATGTTGGGCCTTTAATAACATAAGAATTGGCTTCAAATGCTCCTTTTGGGCTCTTAGAACACATGTTCTTGTCTTTCTAAGGTCCAAGTATTTATACTCCAATGACTCATATGCCATGGTGGCTTTTGGGGTGGCCTTCCATATGTCACATTAAGCTCCGCACGTGTCCATGTCATCATCCAAGGAATGATCCATGTCCTCCTCCATGTAAGCATTCTTGAGTTATAAATTTCCTGAATACTCTGGAGGGCTTGTTGGGCCTCTAATTGGATGAGTACTACTTCGGCTTCATGACCTCCATATTGTATGCTATCATTCCCTCCCTCTTTGAAAAGATTCGTCCTCGAATCTTGACCTGGATCAAAAGGGAAGAAGTTAGAATTTGCAAAAATAATTTGGAAATAATATTTACTGAGTAGAAGAATCATGTAAGTTGTGTGATAGATCTTGGCAAGATCTTGAAAAGGATCTTGATTCCTTGAGGTCATGTGAGGATACTCTAATATTGGAAGCTGGTGAAAATTGCTTTGGGTTAGAAATCTTTTCTTTCTCACATGCACCCAAATATAAATGATTATGTGAATCCCTTGTGCATTTGCAAAATAACATAAAGCAACAACAAAATCTAGGTAATAAGAAAGCCTCTTAACCATAATCTGAATGTAATAAGAACACCTGTGAACAACAAAATTCATATAACAAGGACAATTCAATGTGAGAAGTTTAAGACATCTTAAAGACAAAAAGTCATTGGGAATAACAAAATCTAGGCTATCAGCATGTTTTTCAACATTGCTTGAATGAAATGAGAATCCATCGGGTGGCACTTTAGGAATCAAATCAACTACTTGCAACACACCAGAAACATAGGGCAAAGGATGATTAAGATGGTTAGTAATCAAAGAAATATCCTTGCAATCACCTTTAACCTCATTTTTCTCACAACTCTTTCCATGTTTCTCTTCACTCAAAGAAACACTCTCATTTTTACTCTCATTATTTTCACAACACTCAATGTATTGCACTTGTTTCTTTGCTCAAACTCTCTTCTTTTTCACAATTATTCGAAATAATGGAATCCATCTCCTTTGAATTTGATGTGGAGATGACATCTTTCTCTTGATTATTCTTCTTTGAAGAGGAGCATTGTCTTTCTGAATATTTATGTCTCTTGAGTTCTCGCTCATGCTTACTAAGTAGAGAAACCAAATCTTTAATCTCCATGAAGTTGCACATTTCTGCAACACAAGCTAATCTAGGATTAAGCCCATGTATAAAGCGATCCATAGTGGCTTCTGGAGTCTCCTTTATCCCATCTCTAATCATTGCTAACTCCATCTCATTATGATAGCCCTCAACAGTCATGGAGCCTTGTTTTAACTCCTGCAATCTTCTATGCAAGTCTCTTTTAGACTTGGAGCTGCGATTAGACTTCAAATGGTCTACTTCAGCATTTAGCTTTTGGACTTCTTTTAGGAAGAAGTTGAGATCTTTCCTAAGCTCTTTATGACCATACATATTTGGTACCTGAAAGGTTAGAAACAGGGAGAAGAATGGACCTCACCACTCTACTCACGTGTTTCACTCAAAACAATTTATGCCACTCATGTTTCTCTCAAATTTGGCTTTTAAATTGATGCATAACACTCTTGCCTTTTACCACTCAAGCTTGCCTCCTATAATATTCTTGATTGAAACTCAACAAAATCAAGAGACAATGTTAGTTTACGGTAATCTTCACAACCAAAATTGGTAAGAAACCAGTGACTATGTGAAAGAGGGAAAAAGAAGGATAGGCCAAACGTGAGGATGGAATAAAAGGAGGGGCAAAATGAGGAGAGAAGAAGTTTATGATTTAAAAAAAAATGGATAGGAAAAAAAACGTGGAAAAAGGGAGGCAGAAATTGCAAAATGAAAATAAGGTTGTGAAAGTAAAGGAAAATAGGAAACAAAGTAATTAGGAAAGGTACTACCTTGAGACAACTTTAGGAAAGTGAGTACCTTGCAAGAAAAGAACTGAAATTAGGAAAGTAATATGAAAAGGAAGGAAAAGGAATAGGAAACAAAAGAAATAAGGAAACTTGAAGAAAGAAAATAGGAAAGTAATATGAAAAGGAAAGTAATTCAAAATAGGAAACTAGATAAAATAAAGGAAAGTAGAAATAGAAAAGTAGGAGTCTTACCACCCAAGTATAAAGATTTAGGAAATTAATTGTGACTTGCAATGGAAGCTCTTTCAAATTAGGAAACTTGTCTCTTATGCTGCAATCTCCAAAATCTGAAACTTTCTCCCTTTTTTTTTTTTTTTTTTTTTTGTTTCAACACAACAGCACTTTTTTTTTCTTTTTTTTTTACGAATTTTTTTTATTTTTATTTTTTGCTACTCAAAAGAGCAAAGCAAGTCAAGTGAACAGGAAAAAAAACAATGGGTGGGAAGGAGAGGAAAAGGGAAAAAAACGAAAAAAAATAATAAAAGGGATGAAAATAAGGAAGAAAGGAGGAAGACAGAATGAGAAGAATGGAAACGAAAGGAAAACGGAAGCAATAAAGAAAGCAACAAAAATGAAAACACCAAAAGGATAGAACTTGAAAGCTAGCAAACCTTAGCTCTGATACCAAATGATACAAGGTACGGATACGGATTGGCTAGAAACAAGTTAGGAAACTAGACGAACGATCGAAGGTAGGACCTTACGAGAATCTGTCTCTTACAACCCTAGCCATGGAGACACCAAAAGAATGATCAGTCCTTGATACAGTCGAGTATTGTCACGAGAATATGAGGCGGCAAGCAAAGCTCACTCAAGAGAAATAAAATTCTCTAAAATTCATTCATTCAAATCTGATCCCCAATTACAAAAAACGTAGCCTTATATAGGCAGCAAAAGAACAATCTAGAATCAAAAAAACCCTAGGTCATAAATGCCATAAATGTGCCTTAATGATGATTGACTATCTTGGTTGGCACCTATTAAGGCTCAAGGAAATAGGAAATTACCTTTTCTTGAAGAAAAAGGCTGCTACCTAAAAATAGAAAACTAACCTAAAATATTCTTATGCAATCTTTGACTAAAAGGCCTTATTTAATGCAAATAAAAATGGAAACTTAAAAAAACGAAATTAAACCATAACTAATACATAAAGACGCCTTCTTGATGCTTCTTGGACCTTCCAAATAGATCTTCATAATTGCTATTCACGTCCATAAGCATGTATGGGCCTTTAAGACACCCATTTGGGCTTGAATATGGTTGAATCACGTTCTGGAACTCCCATGGTCCATAACACAATGCATTTGGGCCCCAATTTAAAAGATTATAGCTCTAATGGACTCCTCCAGGCACATATAATTATGTTGGGCCTTTAATAACATAAGAATTGGCTTCAAATGCTCCTTTTGGGCTCTTAGAACACATGTTCTTGTCTTTCTCAAGGTCCAAGTATTTATACTCCAACGACTCATATGCCATGGTGGCTTTCGGGGTGGCCTTCCATATGTCACATTAAGCTCCGCACGTGTCCATGTCATCATCCAAGGAATGATCCATGTCCTCCATGTAGGCATTCTTGAGTTATAAATTTCCTGAATACTCTGGAGGGCTTGTTGGGCCTCTAATTGGATGAGTACTACTTTGGCTTCATGACCTCCATATTATATGCTATCACTTGTTTATAGCAGAACTTTAGATGACCATGTTATGCACTTGTGTGAGGTGTTTAAAACTCTTAGAGAAAATAGCTTGTATGCTAATTTTCAAAAATGTTATTTTTGCATGGATTCTGTTGTATTTCTTGGTTTTATTGTAGGTGTTCAAGGGATCCATGTGGATGAGAAAAAGGTGAAAGCTATAAGAGATTGGCCAACTCCAAATAATGCCAATGAAGTTAGGAGTTTTCATGGACTAGCAAGTTTCTATAGGAGGTTTGTCAAAGATTTTTCAACTATTGCTGCACCTCTAAATGAGATTGTTAAGAAGCACTTGACATTTAAATGGGGTGAAGCACAAGAAACAACTTTTAATACCTTGAAAGAGAAATTAACCAATGCACCACTTTTGTGTTTACCTGATTTTAATAAAGTTTTTGAAGTTGAATGTGATGCTTCTGGGATTGGTATTGGTGCTGTTCTAATGCAAGAGTCTAGACCTATTGCCTACTTCAGTGAGAAATTAAGTGGAGCTTCTTTGAATTACTCTACTTATGATAAGGAACTCTATGCTTTAAAACGAACTTTAGAAACATGACAGCATTATTTATGGCCTAAGGAGTTCATTATTCACTCTGATCATGAAAGTTTGAAGTTTCTAAAGTCTCAAGGTAAGCTTAACAAGAGGCATGCTCGCTGGTTGGAATTCATAGAGACGTTTCCTTATGTGATCAAGCAGCAAGGTAAAGAGAATGTTGTTGCTGATGCTCTTTCTAGGAGGTATTCTCTTATCACTTCTCTTCATGCTAGATTACTTGGATTTGAATTATTGAAAGGGTTGTATGACTCTGATTGTGATTTTTCCAAAATTTGGCTTTCTTGTGAAAAGCATAGGGTGAATGACTTTTATAGATCTGATGTGTTTCTTTTTAAGAAAGATAAATTGTGCATTTCCAATTGCTCTATGTGTGAGCTGCTTGTAAAAGAAACTCATGGTGGTGGTTTGATGGGTCACTTTGGTGTTGACAAAACATTAGCTCTTTTGCATGAACACTTTTATTGGCCTGGTATGCGCAAAGATGTTGTGTCTGTTTGTGCTAAATGTGTGACATGTAGGCATGCAAAGTCTAAGGTTCAACCTCATGGTTTATATTCCCCTCTACCTGTGCCTTCCCAACCTTGGGTAGATATTTCTATGGATTTTGTGTTGGGCTTGCCTAGGTCTCAATCTGGGAAAGATAGCATATTTGTTGTAGTGGATAGATTTAGTAAAATGGCTCATTTTATTGCTTGTTCTGAAACAAATGATGCTATGCATATTGCTGACTTGTTCTTCAAAGAAATTGTTAGATTGCATGGATTGCCTAAAACCATTGTGAGTGATAGGGATGTAAAGTTTCTTAGCCATTTTTGGAGGACCTTGTGGAGTAAGCTTGGAACTAAGTTGCTGTTTTCTACTGTGGCACATCCCCAAACGGATGGGCAAACTGAGGTCGTCAATAGAACACTCACTACCTTGTTACGTGCAATAATTCAAAAGAACTTGAAGAATTGGGTCAACTGTTTGCCTCATATTAAATTTGCATATAACAGGGCTATTCACTTTTCTACTTCTTTCTCTCCATTTGAGATTGTTTATGGCTTTAATCCTCTATCTCCTTTGGATATTCTGCCTTTGCCTTCTAGTGAATGAGCTAACCTTGATGGCAAGAAAAAGGCTGAGTTTGTGCAGGAATTACATGCTAAGATGAGGGCCAACATCGAGAAAAAGAATGAGCAATATACAAAGCAAGCTAACAAAGGTCGTAGGAAGGTTGTCTTTGAGCCTGGAGACTGGGTTTGGGTATACTTGCGAAAGGAGAGGTTTTCCAGAACAACGAAAGTCTAAGTTGCAGCCAAGAGGAGATGGCCCTTTCCAAGTCTTGGAGCGAATAAATGATAATGCCTATAAAATAGATTTGCCTAGCTCCTACGGTAATGTAAGTGCTACATTTAATGTGACTGATTTATCTCTCTTTGATGCTGCAGATTCGAGGACGAATCCTTTTGAGCAGGGAGGGAATGATAGAGGAGCATGGCATGATCAAGCATCAAAGGAAGACCAAAACACGGAGTGTGGAGCCCAAGCTAAAAGATGGAAGTCCAATATTCTAAAAGACCCATTACAAGGCATTGCAGGCCCAATGACAAGAGCAAGGACCAAATCTATGAAAGAGGCGCTGAATTGTTTGATAAAAGATCTTAAAGAGTTAGAGCCCATTTATTTGGAAGAAGCATCCCTCAATCAGCCCATCAAGGGTCCAAACATGGTGATTACATTGCTAGAAGCGAAACAAGATGATGTACAAGGCCCATGTGCAGTCCAGATTGAAGAATTCACTCAAAATACCATGTGACAAGTATGTGCCTTGGAGGAGGAGCATAAGTGACGTCCAAGAATATTCAAGAAGCATTAAGAAGGTGTCTTTATGTATTAGTTATGGTTTAATTTTGTTTTTTTAAGTTTCCATTTTTATTTGCATTAAATAAGGCCTTTTGGTCAAAGATTGTATAAGAATATTTTAGGTTAGTTTCCTATTTTTAGGTAGCAGCCTTTTTCTTCAAGAAAAGGTAATTTCCTATTTCCTTTGGCCTTAATTGGTGCCAACCAAGATAGTCAATCATCATTAAGGCACATTTATGGCATTTATGACCTAGGGTTTTTTTATTCTAGATTGTTCTTTTGCTGCCTATGTAAGGCTACGTTTTTTGTAATTTGGCATCAGATTTGAATGAATGAATTTTAGAGAATTTTATTTCTCTTGAGTGAGCTTTGCTTGCCGCCTCGTATTCTCGTGGGAATACTCGACTGTATTAAGGACTGATCATCCTTGTGGTGTCT